TCCACTGCAGCCCCTTCTCTTTGCGTCCCTTGAAATCCACTTCTCTTCTTGCTGGCTTTCTCATTGGAGAACTGTATCTGGGAGAGAAACGCTTTTGGAAGGGGAGCTTTTGGAAACTCTGCTTAGGGTTCCAAATCATTGCCTGGGCCCATAACCTGCTAGCAGACCTTGCAGCTTGAGTGAATTGGATTGAAAAGTTCACTTACAGTTTCTGGAGTTTGAAGGCTTTATTCGTGTAGGAAATATTTAAAGGTTCAGTAGAGATGAAAGAAAGAAATAGCAGGCATCTTATTTGGAGAGAACAACAAACAAAATGGCTCAGCTTTTAGGGGTGGAGATAACTTTGACAAAGATGCTTCCAAAGAAGTGCTGGTTAGATTGCTAGATGAGTAGTACCCCCATGTGGTTTAAAGTAACAAATGGATTAAACTAGAAGCTTAAGAAATGGAAATGTATCTGCCTCTGTGGGTTTGCTGTTTTTTCTTTGTCTTCCTATTTAAACTTATATGCCAGAAAATGTTCTGGTCCCAAGCACAAAGTACTTAAGTTCTGTTTGCCTAAGCTGCGGTGGTGACTCCAGAAGGAATAGGTAAAGGCCATTATTGGGGGAGCAAGGATTGAATACCTGCCAAATATGGCCTCAGTAAACTGTGTCTGAAAGCTAGGTGAGCATTTGTGGGAGCAATAACTATTCTGGGGCTGCACTGCCCTTTGGAGTCATTTCATGCCCATTAAATCTTAAACGCTGTGTCCTGTGTCTTTCTTTCTGGGGGGAGGGGTTTTGACACGCAACCATAGTTCCCAGCATTGTGCCTATGGGCATCATGGTGGCCACAGGTGTCCCCTTTGGTGCCTGTCAAGCTCCCTCACCCCTTTAAGAAGAGTTTTGTTTGTCTAAGAGGTTTGCCTGCTCTCTCTTTTTTGTCTGTGTTCTTTTTGCTTGGTGGTTTTGCCTTTTGGGGGAAGTTCTGAGTCTTGCCAGTTTTTCTTTTGTTGAAATGGGCATTTTGTGGTGCCCAAAACAACTTCTTAAATTTTCAAATACACCCCAAGCCCTAAAAGGTTGGGGACTCCAGTCTATAATAACAACAAATAAAGAAATTAAGGAAAAGATTTACAACTAAAAATAAAATTAATAACTGAACATTTTGAAGAACAGATGGGTAGTACACAACTGTGGACAGAAAATGAGGTTTAATAATTATGACCCTGTTGTTACAGTGTTCTGTTTTTAATCAGATTACGTAGGAAGGCAAAGAATTAAGTAAAAGTCGGCAATGAGATGAGAATGAATGAATGAGTCGGGGTAATACTTTTGTGTATCGGATGATCAGGGAGTCACACAGATTACTAGGTCACAGCTGTAGCAATTTAGGCAATGCATTTAATTATTATTTATGTATTAATTTGTTTTTTGTAAGGATGGCAATCCAGGTCAGCTGACAACAATTAAACCATCTAACAATAAAAAGAATGATACAATAAAATTTATTAATTAAAACAGTACAGGAGGCAGAAACAACAGATTTTTATTTTTTTAAGATGGCATGCTTGAGAAATGAAAGTAACAACCTGACAATCCAGAGGTCAGTCAAAAAAGAAGGGCCTCACATGCAACCAGTGATCATCAGAGAGAGGGGTGAGGTTGGTCTCCCTAGATAGCAAGCTCCAGTAGCTTGGCACGGATTTAATTACTGTATATTTGAAGCTCTCAAGAAAGGCATTTTGTATGCTACCTCTGTGTGTGTGAAAGTATTTTTCTACCCTTCTTTTTAGCTGAAGAGTGGCTTGCATTAAATCTCTGCTGGACATTCCTTCATAGGCCACTCAGAATGCCAGTTCTGAAAATTTGGGGATTTCATCATGAGTATCAGATGGAGTCTATGCATAGGATATCGGGATCTCAGTGTAAATTAGCGGAGTGAAATTGCTGCATCTCAATCTAAGATGTTCCTCTATGCAGGAATCTCTTCTTTCTCTAAACAGCAATGGTAGGAAGCAGCCATACACTGGGTCACAGTATTTGTTCAACTAGCCTAGTGGTGTCTATAGTAGTGCAGGGATGGCTGGTGAGAGCTAATGACGGGCAGAGCTAACTGATTCTAGCTTTGTCCCCATCTTCCTCATTGCTGACCACTACAGTGGCATCCCTGAGTTTAAGGAGGAAGAAGCTGATAGCCAGGATTGGATCTCGGATTTTCTGCACAGCAAGCACGTGTTTTCCACTAAGCTGTGTCCCCTCCATATAGAAGGCAAGACCGAAGGCATCCTGATTTGCATTGGCTGATCTGCATTGCCTGATGGTGACTGGCCCAATGTTGTAACAGAGGACTGGACTAGGTGGCTTTTTTGTTCCTTGCAATTATATGATTTGGTGAGTTGCTTTTTAACATAGCACATAGCACCACCTGCTTACAGCGGAGGGCCGGTGCTGCATATTGCCATCCTTTGTTAAAATACTGGGCATGAGGTTGGCTTGGTATGTGGCTGGGGAGTAAGGAGTAAAAGTCTGTAGGTAGATGCTTGGATGGTTGCAGGAAGGGTTAGGCAACTGTTGCCAAGCACTTGGTGGGCATTTCCATTTTCTTCAAGGCCTGGCAGTTTTCATCCAAGTTCTGACTCAGACCAGGAGGTAGTTGGTAAACGGCATAAACAGCACTGCATGTTCCCTGCATCAAGGAAGCTCTGCCATCTTCCTTGGAATAAATTATGCAAATATACAAACAACTCTAGTGCAGAAGTCATAATACAGGGCTCTTCACAGAAGTTTGAATAAGGATGGGGTGTTTGGCAGATGAAACAAGCACATTGGTTTGGGTTTTCGAAAAGTGAAAAAGAAATCCAGACAGAAAAGTAGTTGATCTTTTTTGTTTCTGGCAAAGTTGTTGTTGTTGTTGGGTATTTTTGCAAAACCACAAAGATATTGGACGTTTTGGAGCTATTTCTGTGGGAAATTGGCTAAAACGACAATGCCGACATGGGCTGCCATACGTCCGGATTTTCCTGGACATTTAAGCTAATTTCTGCCAGGAAATTGGTAGATGGTTAGGAAGAGAAGAGACTACGTTTTGTCTGCTTTGCACCCCGTTGAGTGTGGTGTGACTTACCATGGAACACAGTTCCTTAGGTTTATGCCACGACCATGTATAAGAGTCTTGCCATTTGTAGGAGAGTGTGGTTGCTGAAAGCAGAATGCTGAGCTACATAGGCCTCTGGTTCAGTCCAGCAAAACTCCTTATATTCTCATGCTCTTCACTTACTTTTTGTCCTCCCTTATTCTCCCCATTACCCCTTATAAATTATAAGTCATTTTTAGGTTTGTGCAGTTTCAAAACTGATATATAACTGGTTGGATGGACCCCAAGCAGCCCTTTCCACCTCTGGGGAAATGAGTGCTCCTTCAGTCATGCTCCACTTGATTCATGATAACCAAACTTCACTACCTCATTCATCATTACAGTTTGGCGAACATCATCTCTATTGAGATGCAAGGCACTCACTACCTGTAGTTTCTGGCAACATGTGAAGATATTTTGGTTTCAATAAACTTTTCCAGATGAATGAATGAATGAACATTTTGGTCTTTGCCTTGGGTTTTTATTTGTATTGTTTTAAAACCAATTTTAGGTTGTCTTGATATTATTTTAAAAGCCGCTTTTAGTTGTGTTTATTGTACAATAGTAAATTGAATTGAATGAGAGGTGACTCATAAATAATAATAATGATACTGATGATGATTATAATTATGATCATAGCGTAACTCAGTTAATCCTCTATATGCATGCATTTTCTTCCACTTAAACATTAAAAAAGCAAGTCTTACCTACAGGCTTCCAGTCAAAACAGTTGTCTGCAGAGATGGTTTTAACACACTAGGGCTGTTTTGTTACAAGTTTAGAGTCAGATTTCTATGTAGAAAGGTAGCACCTTGCTTCTGCCTCAGAGCATGAATGAGTAATGGTCAGCACAACATCCCATGGCAAAAAACCATGTTAACTATGTGTTTTTCCAAGGTATATCCTTTGGTTTCTATTGAACTCACTACAATGAATTTTAGCAACTAAATGACCTTGAATACAAGTGCATTAAGGAAGTGAGAGAATAATTTACCTTTCTTTGCTTTCTCAAGCCTGTTCATAGTTCTATAAGCCTCTGTCATATCCCATTGCTCTTTTCCCCCTCTGAATGCAAAAAGAGTCCAACATTTTAGTTAGGGGGGAGAAACAGCTTACAACATGGGACAACATGATAGAAGCTGATGGTATCTGGAACGTCTTTGTATTAGTTGTAGAATTGTATTCTTTTGGAGATGGCTAATTTATCAAAAACTGTAATGTTTTAATAACATGTCACATACATGTTTGGTTCAAATTAGATAGGATGAGTGAACTCTGAAACAATCCTTGTGAAAGGAATCCCCCCTTTTTTTTACTTCTTCTCTTCTCGCACCCTCTTGTGGAGGTGGGTTGCCACTCACTCCCAAACCCTCCTCTCCCCACACCATCCAGCCACCTCCCAGCACCGTAACTAGAAAAAGAACCTTAGTACTTTTTGTCAGAGAAGCACCATGACTGGAACTTTGTGTGTCCCCTTAAGAGAGCATGGCTCGCTTAATAACCCCACTCCCTGTATGGAGAGATGCATGGAGTATGCATTTGTGTGTTTGGAGGTTTTTTCGCCAAAGAGGGGCAGAATACTTGTCTTGTTGGCAACCCATGCTATGCAACTGGCTAGAGTGTTTATTTTTGGCATGTTTCTTTTTAACCTGTAAGGAATTGTGTGTGTGTTTAATTAGTGGGGGGCATTAAAAAACATGGCCCCCATCTTCAGTGTGAAGTAGAATTCTACTATCTGTAATGTGTAGATCGGGTCTAATATCAAGGAAATGCTAGCCTCTGCATTTGAGATGCTGGCCAGAACCAAGTACTAAGGGACGGACTCTCAGAATAACTAACTTGGATGGCATGCTAAAGAGTGTTTGCTCTTTATTTTGTCTTCAGATCATCAGAAGTTGGAGCGAGAAGCTCGAATTTGCCGTCTCCTGAAGCATTCCAACATCGGTAAGTATCTGTCTTGGAGGGGATAAGTGGAGGTGGGGAAAGTTTCTCGCTTTAGAAGAAGAGTTTGCCAGGGTTGACAATATTTGCCTGTTTTGTGTTCTTCCTGGGAGAACTGTGGGTGGGAGCGCTCCTTCAGTGATGGGAAAGATAGGGGAACATTTGTTCACTCTTAGAAGCTGATCTATATCTACCTATCTATCATCTATCTATCTATCTATCTATCTATCTATCTATCTATCTATCATCTATCTATATCTATCTATCTATCTATCTATCTATCTATCTATCTATCTATCTATCTATCTATCTATCTATCATCTATATCTATCTATCTATCTATCTATCTATCTATCTATCTATCATCTATCTATCTATCTATCTATCTATCATCTATCTATCTATCTATCTATCTATCTATCTATCTATATCTATCTATCATCTATCTATCTATCTATCTATCATCTATCTATCTATCTATCTATCTATCTATCTATCTATAATAAAAACTCAGGTCGAGAAGGCAGTGGTCCAGAATCTGCTCCAGCAGATCTGTGCATGTTTCTCTCATTGCAGACATGGCATATCCAATCCTTTCCAAACTACCATCACTTCCAGTGCTCCAGATTCTAGCAATCTACATTTGCAAAATCCAAATTCAGCAGTTAGAACATCCAGATCCTGTGACTGGGATAAATCTTTACTCAACAACTAGTTTTTTGAGTAAGTGGAGGATATGGCTGCCAAGCCCAAAAGTTATTACCCCCACCAATGGGATACTACTTTTTCCTTGCCCCCCTGTACTCTGCACTCATGTAATTCAAAAGTATGCTTTTCCACTTACGTAGCATGCTTTATTTCAGGCATGGAAACAAGTGTCCCATCAGCCCCAGCCAGTATTGTCAATGGTCAGGGATGATTCGAGTTTAAATCCAGCAGCGTTTAGAGGGCAACAGGTTCCTGATCCCTACTCTTATTCACAAAACATGGCTAGTTTTGCATTATTATTATTATTTGCCCTGTGAGGAATTTTGACACGGCTGCAGAAACTTGGCAAAGCTACTGATGGTGTATACAAACCACAGTGAGTTAATAAACCATAATCTCAAGTCAGGGTCAAATTGTGGTTGAGCCTCTTTTTCTCAGCCTAGCCTACTCCACAAGGTTGTTAGGAGGGTAAACATGGAGTAATCACATCTACATACACCAACCTGAGCTCTTTAGATGAAAAGTGGGAAATCAAATTTGAGGAATAAAAAACCAGCAACAACTGCTGGTATGGGTTGTGGACTGCACATTCTTGTTGCACAACTGATTGCTCAATCCCACACCCCCTCAACCCTGCTGGTTTCAATGCACCCCTAGGTAATCTTGCAAGCCCACTGCAGTTGCTGACATCAGCAAAGATGATAGAGCAAGAGTTTCAGTAAGCAGCATGTTAGGCAGGTCTTTCCTTCTCAAACAATTAAGACTATGACACCCCTCTCACCCGCTCCAGTGTGCAGTCTGTTTATTCCAGTCATTTTGTTTGAATCCCTTCTTTTTTTTTGGTCCTTTTTTTAGTCCTCTGTTTTTCTCCCTTTGAAGTACATTAGTTTCTATGGAAACAATGTCGTCATGGGCACCTTCTAGGTAGGTTTAGAGACAGACACAAGTGCAAAAGAAAAGCGAAAAACCAGTTTGTTATATAATGGAGCTGGAGCAGATGCCACGGCGTGGAAGTCTTGGTGAGGTGTGCAGGATGTACATGGGCTTTGTGCAGTGGGGAGTTTGCGAAAGGAAGATGCATGTGTCCATACGGAGACATCCGTTTTCTGTGCATGATGCGGGGATCTTGTGCCTTCACGATGGGATTGTTCTAAAGGATTTAAGGAAGCTATTAGGCATATATCACCAGCTAATTATTTGAAGCCCTGTGGTAAAGTGAGGCAGGCTTCCATAAGAAGGTGCAAACAGTTGCTAGGAGAAGTGACAACTCTTTCTTGATCACTTACAGTCATTCAGTGACGCAAAACAGGAGCCAGAATCTCCATCTACAGTATAATACAAAAGTATGCGCCTTACATTTTGTGTTGATTGGTAGTGCTGAGCGTCAGTGGGGCAATGCTTAGTGTTTTGCTGACCATGAGGTTAAAGCAAACACTGTGTCCATGTGGCTTAACTCCCTCCTTTTTCTTTAGCATGATGACACATTCATGCAGCTAGGCAAACCAGCTGGTTTTGTTTGATCCTAGGGAGTGCTTTTTTAACCTCCAGTTTGTTTGCACTAAAAACAAAGTGAAGACATTTCAGGGAGGGAAGTATAATGCTGCGTTCAGTCTCCTGCACATAATGTTCTCCTGTCCTGTGGACTTAATGCTATATTGTCTTATTGAGTAAGTTTACTGAATATTATTGCCGAGTTAGTATGATACTTACGAAAGAGCAATTGGACCTGTAACAAAATGTTGGAATGTGGACTTCTGCTGAGGGTGCCAGCTAACCAACTGCGCCCTTTTCTCTCCCCCTCCACCAAAGTCAGCTTTCCGTGGCTACTGAGTATGCCAAGCCCTCACTGAGCTGTTTCTAGATCTCGCTCATCTCGCTTTATTGGCCGAGGGAGCCGGCGTACAGCTGTGGCCAGCATGTCATGTCCGGGTCATGTGGCCAGCATGACTAAGCCACTTCTGGAGAGCCAGAGCAGCGCATGGAAACGCCATTTACCTTCCCACCAGAGCAGTACCTATTTATCTACTTGCACTTTGACGTGCTTTTGAACTGCTAGGTTGGCAGGAGCAGGGACCGAGCAACAGGAGCTCACTCCGTCGCGGGGATTTGAACCGCTGACCTTCTGATTGGCAAGTCCTAGCGCCATTCGCGTCCCTTTTCTGTAGAATATTGCCACTCTTTCTCCCTAAATGCTCTGCATTCAGGTTTTCCTTCGGTGGTGTGAATTAGGCTCACTTGAGTATCCCATCTCTTAGGAATGCCTGCTGTCCAGTCATCTCTGCAGTACAAACACACATCTGTAAATTTGTTTCCTCCAAAGTACCCTGGAAATTGTACTTTGGTGAGGGTGCTCTCTGTTCAAGGTCCCTAGCCCTTCTCACACATTTCCCAGGATTCCCTGTGGGAAAGGAATGACTATTGAATAAGTGTTAAATCTGTGCTGTAGATATTCTACACTCTCTTGGATTTGCTCTCTTGGTGCAGTTGTTTTGTGGGATCTGGCCCTCAAACTGAGGCATCATCCTGCATGAATTTCAATGCAGAGACTGAGTAGTAGTCATATTTTGGCAGAATCAAATCCTATTTATAAGCATTGGCCCTGTATTTGTTTGTCTTGCTAGATGTTTTCTCCTCATCTGCAAAGAACTTTTGGAGATGTGGTATTTCATTTGCAAATAATTCCTCCCCCTCCTTTTTGTTTAATTAGCCTTGTTCTGGTGAGGAACAACATGTCTTGAAGCACAGAAAAAGAACCAGGTCTCAAAAGCCCATGAATTTTGTTTCCCTTAAGGAGGGCTGGATCTTGACCTTTCGAGGAGAGCGGAAAGGATATTTAGCACCACACACATTTTCTCATGCCAGTTCCACTTTGCAGGGAAGTTCAATCTAACATTAAAGTGCTTCAGTCTGAAAAGATACCCACAGTTCTGAGAAGAAAAAGGGCTTCATTCATTTTATGCAATGTTTCTGTTCCCCTTCTCTTTGAATGACATAAGAGAGCTTCACATCTATGCAGGGTCAGTCCCATCAGTAAGCAGAGTGAGAGAGTTGCCTAAGGCAACTGATTTTGGGTATAATGAAAAGGCAGTAAAATCTTAGCTATTTAATTTACTATGATTATGTTTTTACTCCCAGGGAGACACACTTGCTGGACTTTCTGCCTCAGGTACCAAAATATCTTGGTCAGACTCGGGTGCAATGCAACTTAACTGAGGGAGGGGGGCATCCTTTGTTCTTTCCCTTTAGCCAGCAAAATCGTTTGGCCTGGTTCTGTATCTCATGTTCTATTTCAATGGGTTTGACATTTCTGTTTTCACGACATGAAGGAAGGAAGTGTAATGGGGCGGTTTCCTTGTGAAGGAACACACACACACACACACACACACACTCTTTAATTAGTTTTTTTAACATATCATTTCCAACTATCATATAACATAACTTCTTTTCCGTTCTCTATCACTTATTTTGCATTTCTTAATTACTCTATTACTCTTAATTATCATTAACTAGTAATTCTCCTCATAGTCTTTCTTGCAATATTTCAGATAGTCCTCCTTACAAAACTTCTTGCAGTCCTACTAGCGTAATCTGTTCATTACAATTGCTTTTCAAATAGTTTGTATATTTACTCCAGCCTTCTAAGAATCTCTGGTCCCGCAGGTTTCGAATCCTCCCTGTTAATATATCCAGTTCTGCATAGTCCATCAATTTCATCCGTCTGAGTCTCCCCTTCTATCTAACCTACATACCCAGGGCTGAACATCTAAGGAGTGCAGATGATGATGATGATCACTTTTAATTTGTATACCGCCTTTCTATCTTACAATACTCAAGGCGTTTACAAGCTGAAGAAACAAAGAATGTACACCGTACACCTTATAACAATCTAATGCAATACAAAAATGTGATAATAAGATATACTTTATTTGATGTAGATTGCTTATCTTAAAGCTAACATTCAACAATCATTAGAATAGTTTAGAGTAATAATATCAGCATATAAAAATTTAAACAGAAACCCACTCTTAACAATTACAATAAATAATTTCGAAATTACAATCAATAAAACAATTGCAAGCCAATTGTGGGGCAAGGCAGGTGGAAGAAGATGACAATAAATGTATTTATTTATATACCTCTTAGTGCATGGAGACTTCTAAGCAGTTTACAAGTATGAAACCAATGACACAAACATAAATAAGCCACTCCTCTACTGAACATCTTCCAAGATAATAATGCCCACTCACATCATAAAAAGCTCATAGCCCACTTACTCTCAGCAGCCAGAAGCATCATAGCCAGACACTGGAGAGACCTGTCAGGAGTAAGCATGGACCAAAGGTATCAAATAGTATGGGAAACAGCCTTATTAGAAAAACTAACCAATAAACTGAAACTGACATGGGGACAAATATAAGAAGACACCTTCACCCTCGTATGGCTCCCCTTTATCACATACACAGTCCAACAAGACAACAACAAGAATCCACCGACAGCATGTGAATCAATCTGGCTAACCTGATCCAAACACACACACACACACATACACATACACATACACACACACACACACACTCTCACACTCACACACAAAAACAAATCTCACTACAGCCAATCAAAGACAACCAACCACATCCTAGGCCACCCACAACCTTTCTCACCGCTAAGAAAATACAACAAGCGAATAGTAAGAGAACTCACACAAGTGACGCTGACTCAAAACCGTGTACATAACACTAAGTAAAAGAACAGAAGCATTGCCACCTGACCCCACCCCACTCACCATTCTCCCCTCCCCTCTTTCCCCCTCTCTTCTTCCTAACCTAACAGTGTATGTAATACTAATGTCTCACAACAAATGAAACTGATCTGTAGAAAATGCAACTTGAAAAGAGACAATGCATGTATTTTTGTAAACTAAGACATATCTATCTATCTATCTATCTATCTATCTATCTATCTATCTATCTATCATCTATCTATCTATCATCTATCTATCTATCTATCTATCTATCTATCTATCTATCTATCATCCATCTATCTATCATCTATCTATCTATCTATCTATCTATCTATCTATCTATCTATCTATCTCACTCAGCCATCTCTGCAAAGGCCACATACCAGGGGTGGGGATGGCACCTGTATATGCACATGTGTGCTCTCTTGCACACCGCAGACACTCACCAGACACGCAGGCACACAAACTGTCTTCCTCTTTCACTCACACACATGTTCATGCAGTCACACACTCAGCGAAAACAATCCCATTAAAACATAAACATCCATAATTAAAATATGCAATAAGGCAGTCCCATTATATAGATATATAGAAACCCTGTATCCAGATCTCTGTTCTAGAGGGGCCATAAAACATCTAATTCCTCTAATAATGTTTCAGCTCCATCAGTGCCGCTATTTTCACACCAGTTCTCTTGCTACAGTAAAGTCTTTTCAAATGTACCTCTGGGCCTTTGGGAGAATGAATGAATGAATGAATGAATGAAGCAGCATTAGTAGAGACCAAAAGAAACAGTTCCATACCTGGATTGTGGATAGCTAGATCTATGTCGTAGGGGAGACTACTGTATTGCTATTATTCATTCCACTAGTTAGTATGTGAGCTTGTTTGCTCTACCATTCCATTTTTAACCTAGGCCCTGACAATAATAATAATTCCATTTATAACCCACCCTTCCTCCTGAAGGAGCCCAGGGTGGCAGATTTGGATGCGCTGTGTGTTTATTAAGGAAAAAATTAAGTGTCCCTCTACGTTCAGCCAGAAATTACTTTTCGTGATGATTGGCACTTATAAGAAACTTGCGCCAGAAAAAAACTATGGGTTATTGTGGACGTGCTGGTGCATATTGCTCAAATTGTGTTTATCTTGCTCCTCTTTTTCCTGAACCAGAAAGGGGGGGGGGACCACAGCAATGGTTTAGTGTTAAATGTGAACCAGTGCTTGTAATTTCTCTCCAAACCTTTAGAGGAAGTAAAGGTTTTTTCTTGGCTTCATCTCAAAGTTTGCATGGAGGGAAACAAACCATGAGCATGGATTCACCTGTAAGCCAGCACCATTTTCTGTCTATTCTCAGCTTGTTAAAGGGAAGAATAGCCGCAGGTCCAATATGAGCAGTATGTAGCAGCCTGCTTCTCATTTCAGACTATGACATGCAACCATGGCCACTTTGTTAGCGTATAATGGATTATTATTATTATTATTTGTTTGCGGAACGGAAATGTAGGTTTAGAGACTTACCATACATCCTATTGAGGTGTTTCAGTACTATGGGAGATATGTGGATCTCCTACAATATTTTCTACTTCAAACATTCAAATAAACATATGACCGAGAGATTTATTTATTTTTAAGCTGGCATAAGTTTTAGTGGCATTATTATACTGCTAAAATATGTATCCTTCAGTACCTTGGACATATTTTAATTTCATCATAGATGGTTGAATGGTTTTCTTGTGTTTAGAAAACAAACAAGCACCAGCTGTTTTCTAAACCTTTTAGTGTGTCTCCGTAGAAAATATTTTGGACTCCTGTCTCCAAATTTTAGATTGTCCTGTAACCTTATGCACCTTTTACGTGGCTTTCTTGATAAATGAATTTTAATTCAGTTGGGTTTGTTCCCACCAAGCAGGCGTGCCAACCAGACTCTCAAGGGAGATAACTGACAGCTTGAACTCCTGATTGTGCTTGAGACACCCATTGCAAGCATTCTGGCAGCCACCTGTCCTCTCCCTCCTTCCTATTTCTTGCCCCCCCCCAGCCCAACCTCTCCTTCCCTTTACCTGTTCCCTCTGGAATTGCTGCCCCTTCATTTCTGTAGCCCTTCTTCCATACTGCCTTCCACAACCTGGTGACCTCCAGATGTTCTGAACCACAACTTACATAATCCTTGATCGTTAGCCCCACTGGCTAGTGCTGATGGAAGTTGTAGCCCAAAACATCCAGAGGGAAGGGTGCTTTATTGTAACCAAGCCAAAGTACATGTAATTGAAATATGCATGCGTTTTCCCTCTGCCTACTCCTCCCTACTCCTCTCTTCAGCCCCCACTCCCTGATCTGTTGTTTTCCTGCATCAATTTTAGACTGTAAGCCCCATGGCCCAAGAGCCTGGTATATCAGCTCTTACACACAAACAATGATGGTTCTACTGAAAATGGAATTTCCAGTGTTCAGGTGCAGTGATGAACGTATACCGGATACAAAGAGAAGGCTGTGCTTAGAAACTCCTCCTAACCATCTGGATGGCTACTGCCGGAAGCAGAATACTGGGTTAGATGAGTATTTAGTCTAATCCAGGAAGTCTTGTCTTATCTTCTTAACTTATTACCTAATTTTTGCCCAGCTGGTTTGCAGAAGTTTGGCTCAGAAACAGGTTTATGGGCAGGCAAGTGCCTACTGTAGATCAGGAATTGCATTGGAGATTGCAATTTGTTTTGAGTACTAGAAATGAACTGAGACCACAGCCCTTCATTTCACATAAATATCCGTTCCTGATTATCCAAGTGTTGTCTGAACTCTAAGTGTGTGTGTGATTTTGTTGTTCCTGTTGTTAAACAATTTGGAGTCAGAAATCCTTGCTGATTTACTGAAAACCAATCTACTAGTATATCCCAGTCTGTTTTCTCCCTCTCCCCCTGTATTATAAATCTGTGCTCCTGGGGACTTAGTAGGTCAAGGCAGTGTGGCAGCAATATGCTGGATAGGGGAAGGAGCCTGTGGAGAGGAAGATCTTGCATTCTAAGTGATCTAAATGCTTTGAGATAATCCTCACAGTTATGTTCAGATGAAGGGCCCGTTACCTGGGCCTCATCACACTGCCGCCTCGCTGCTATGCATGGGCTGTGTGCCCGTGAGACCTTATTATATACTTTGTGTAATGTATGTTTTAAGGCAGAGGAGGAAAATTTCAGGTATGTAATGTATCGTTTTGTGTTCCTTTGCAGTTCGCCTCCATGATAGCATATCTGAGGAAGGCTTCCACTACCTCGTCTTTGATCTGTAAGTAGGAAATCCCTTGCGACTGTATCACTATATGCTCTATTCTTGCACTTGAGGTCCCTGTCCAGTAGCTCACCCAGACCCCTACTGAACTTAACCTGGAATTTCTCTGCTTTAAAATACTAACCCCGCCCCCCGCCACTTCTCCAGCACAGCATCATAGTTGCCACTGATTGTCCCCTTCCTGGTGGCACACTCTGGATAGTTTCCCCCCTCCCCTGCATCATCATCATCATCATCATCATATAATATTTATACCCCGCCCATCTGGCTGGGTTTCTCCAGCCACACTGGGCGGCTTCCAGCAGAATATTAAAATACAATGATTTATCCAGTATTAAAAGCTTCCCTAAACAGGGCTGCCTTCAGATGTCTTCTAAAAGTCCAATTGTTGTTCATTTCTTTGACATCTGATGGGAGGGCATTCCACAGGACGGGCACCACTACCGAGAAGGCCCTCTGCCTGGTTCCCTGTAGCTTCGCCTCTCGCAGTGAGGGAACCGCCAGAAGGCCCTCGGTGCTGGATCTCAGTGTCCGGGTAGAACGATGGGGCTGGAGACGCTCCTTCAGGTATACTGAAGGATTATACAGGTATACAGAATTATACAGTTATAATTCTGAATAAATTTTGTGTGCTGCTAGGGGAATTGAGCAGGCTGTGGCATCCTCACGGGGAGGGGGGTGGAGAAGAAGGCTGCAGCTGCAGCTATTCCATTAGCACGAAGGGGAGGGTGATGAGAAGGAGGAAGGATATCAGAATGATGGGGGTGACTCAGTGCCCCTGACACACTATTCCCAGAGTAGCTAAACAGCTGCTTAGCCAGAGACATGCCCACTAAGACCCGCATAAGTTTTAAAGGCTCTGTTGGCTCCAGGGCTCCAGACAGCGATGTTGGCCTGTCCTTCTTCCCATTCCTTTTGTCAGGATGGCTGTAGGCCATGTCCTGTGCCGACTGCCTTTGCAAAGTGTCTGGGGGCTTGTGGAGACATTGTGTGCTTTGCTCGGCTGCCTCTCACTTCATTCCAGATATAGAAGCTGGTGATCTCATCTCTTCTCTTCCCTGACAGCTCCAGTTAGGCAGTGAGCTATATTTAGCTCTTCTCTGAGTCAGTGCAGCTCCTGCTTGTCTTTTGCTGGAGTCACACAGACCTTGGTATGTCCCTTGCCTGCAGCGGGAGGATTGAAAGTAAAATGCAGGTTTACATCCCCCGGGCCACATGGCAAAGGACACTTGAGGACCCAGCTGTGGACTGGGCCAGCTGCTGTGTGGGTTGTTACGGTTTTACATGTGCTTTCCGAGACCTTATAGGCTCAAGACTTGATTCCGTGAATATCAAGCAATTCCTGGTATATGCAGAATGAAGCTGAAAGCTGGGCAGAATGGGGAGGCTTTGATCATCCATTGAGGGTGTTTGAAACATTGGAGGGCGGTATACCTTGCTATTCAAGAACAAAGATAACAGATTGCTCCCTTTTTTCATGGAACTCAGCATTACCGGAGTGGTGGGGGTAGGGGACTTTAAACCCACACTTGCTTCCTCACTGTAACCTCTGCTAATATTAATTCCATTCTCTTCCATAACCTCTTTCTTAGACAGAGTCACTCAGGTGGCATCCTCTGCTCATTCACTGGGGGGTAAATCATGTGGCACTCAGTGGGACTTACTTTTGAGTAAAATGCACAGTCATACTTTCTTACAACGCTAGCAGCCCAACATGGGTCTTCCTCGGTCAGCTTTTGTTAGACACGAAAATCAGTAAACCTGGGACAAGCATCAAATGGAGTGGTGGTGTTGGTAAGGTAAAGGTAAAGGTACCCCTGCCCGTACGGGCCAGTCTTGACAGACTCTAGGGTTGTGCGCTCATCTCACTCTATAGGCCGGGAGCCAGCGCTGTCCGGAGACACTTCCGGGTCACGTGGCCAGCGTGACATCGCTGCTCTGGCGAGCCAGAGCCGCACACGGAAACGCCGTTTACCTTCCCGCTAGTAAGCGGTCCCTATTTATCTACTTGCACCCGGGGGTGCTTTCGAACTGCTAGGTTGGCAGGCGCTGGGACTGAACAATGGGAGCGCACCCCGCTGCGGGGATTCGAACCGCCGACCTTTCGATCAGCAAGCCCTAGGCGCTGAGGCTTTTACCCACAGTGCCACCCACGTCCCACGTGGTGTTGGTAGCTGCTGCTTATTCCTGAAGCGCATTTGCACTACTCAGGACACACCCATACAACAAATTCTTATACTCAGCTCATCTCTTTCACAAGAAGGTCAAGATGCCAGTGAAACAGACATGTTGAGCTATTACAGTACTGTAACAATGGCCATGCAGCCTGCTGGGCTAGTGCTGGCCTTTGCATACCCTTGACCTGTTTGCTGGAACATGTGCACTGCATTTACCTGTCCTGTAAAACTATTGTCTGGAAACAGTTTTAGATATCTGCAGTGCTTTTTTTCAAAAAAAAAAAATGTTTAGGGGTACTCTCTCTTTTTCCTACTCATTGAAATACTGCCCCTCAAATAGGCCAAACTTAGATTCACAAAATGTTTAGGGGTATGCGTCCCCCCCATCCCCCAGAAAAAAAGCACTGGATACCTGTCCTCTACCTTATTTGTATCCTGCTCTGTCTTTATTGATATTCTGTATTGAACGTGCTGGCCACATAACCCGGAAGCTGTACGCCGGCTCCCTTGGACAATAAAGCGAGACGAGCGCCACAACCCCAGAGTCGGTCACGACTGGACCTAATGGTCAGGGGTCCCTTTACCTTTTTATATTGAGCGTGAGCCTCCAGTACGGAGTGGGTTCATATGATCGTTTTTCTCATAGCTCAAGGATGGGGAGCCTCAGTTCCAGGGGCTGAATGCGGCCCTTCATGCCAATTTATCTGGCCCTCGGCACTCTCCTCAGGCCGCCTCCTCTTTGCCAGGCCACCCATCTCCTCTAGACCTGCTTTGTATCCTCTTTACATGTTTTTGCTGGCTGGAACATTTCTTTTTGCTTGCCTAGATGGAGCGTAGAGAGTTTGTGTAGAAACTAGTTTATTGTACATAAGTAAAATTCACGTTCATTGCTTGGCCCACTTTTGCCCCTACCACCAGCAGGTGGCCCCTAAAAGGTTGCCCCAGAGAGAATGTGGCCCTTGGACTTGAAAAGTTCCTCCACTCCTGTCATTGGGAGAACCACATGGGTTGTGGAAGAATTCAGTGCTCAAGTGCTATGGCTGACAGTTGCTTCCAAATCTGGTTTGCCTTGCTGAAAATGAAGGATACTTTTCAGCTGACTGTTTTTCTTTCCTTGCTAGCCATCCCTCATCTAAAGGGCCTCCTGAATGTTGAGTGCATTTGAGCTGATATCCATCATTAGGCTTTTCAAGCTTGCTCCTCTAAAGCCAGCTGAAATATCTGAGAAGTGCAGATGCTCAGCATATCTCAATACTAAGCAGTGTAGCCTTCCAGCTTGTTGAGCAGCTTCCCAAATTATCATTTTGTCACAGGCCTCTTCCTGCTAGCCATCACTGCGACAATATCATAATATTGTGCTTATATACATGTGTCTCTTATAATAAATTCATCTATATGCAGAGCTGCTCCTAGATTCTTTTCCTTTTGAACAGACATACAGAAAAACTTCTCACATTACCATGGCAGTCTCAAGAATGGCTTGTCAAAGCTTCTTGAGGACTTAAGTTTTCTCCCATTCAAATTAGCAATGTCAAACCCGAAGTTAACTATAGAGGTGAGAATCTAGGCGAGAGTGAGAGATGAAAGAGAATCTGAACTACCTTGGGAGTTCCAGTTTGCAGACATTGCTGCATTTTGAGGGGGGATTGCACGGAAGAAGGGAATGGAAAGAGGTGGCTGTTGAAGAGGCAGCTATAACAAAAAAAATTGCCCTGCAAATCCATGGTGTTGTTCTCTTGGCTCTCACACAGGAGGCAACACGAGCTCCTCGTAGTCAGGTGATTGGCAGCACAGAGGGAAGTAGCGGGTTGCAAGCATTACATCTGTAGCTCTGTGTGGGTGGGAGAGAGAACAAGATTTAGAGCTGCAGCAACAGTGTGGAAATGAAACAGTACACAGCTTAGGAAGGCAGACAGAGCAAATTGCTCCATGCTTTGGTCCTTGTGCTCTTTGTTTGAAGAGGCCCAGTCAGCGGCGCTCACATGGTCCTGGGTGATGACAAGGGAGTACATTGCCCAGTGCTTAATTTTCAAAATGAGAGTATGTACTGTAAACTAAAAGCATTCCTCTTCCTCTTACCCCAAATTTGATGAGCAGTGATCTGTGTAATCAACCTGGTAACAAACTCCTGCCATAAGTGCCCCTTTTGTCTTTCACCATTCTTACTTGCCTCTTCCAAAATGTTGTCAGCACTGCCTTCGTTGCTTATATTTCTCGGTGTCTTAAAATGGCAGACTATTCAGTTGGCAGTATATGGGAAGAGCAGATCACCTAGGTCTTTGCCATGGATGAGCAACTGGTTGGCTCCAGAGTTTAGGGAGCTTTGGGCAAAATGCTTCCGCACCGTCGACCCTTTGTCCTTAGGCCCGGATCAGGAGGCAAGTTATCCAAAGAGAAAGTGGGAGGCAAGTGGGGTATGCTGCTACACCTCCTCTGTCTTGTTTGCTTGCTCAGAGAGGACAGACAGTAACAACAGAAGACCTGGAGACTCCAAGGTCACCAGTGGACCCTGCCAGGAGCCCAGCCCTGCTGACTACTGCCAGTGGCCCCGATGATAATTTCTCCAGCAGAACAGGTGGCAGTTTCATCCCAAGTCTGTGTTTCGGAAAAGGGATCTAGAAAATTAGAACTTCTGGCAAGCTCCTCTGGTCTTTCAGGACCAGCTGGGCTGTAGCAGTTTGCCCTCAAGGGGCGCTTTTTCATATTTCAAACTTTGCTTGAACTGTGATCTGCGTTCTATTTCAGGGTCACGGGCGGGGAGCTCTTTGAAGACATTGTTGCCAGGGAATACTACAGTGAAGCCGATGCAAGGTGAGTGGTAATTCCATCTCCATCTGTCCCTCTCCATCCTTCTTCCTTTCCCCACCCTGCCCCCTTCTTTCTGCTCCCTGATCCCATGCCAGCTTGTACCTGTGCAACATTAACCCATCCATGACTGGGGCGAAGGGTTGGACTCAAAAGGTATCACAAGGCTACAGCAAAGTTCATAAAACCTTTGGCACCAGTGGTTGCCATGACGTGCCCCATTGCCACATGCAGTGCCAGAGCCTGCTCTGTGGCTTTTCCGTCTGATGATCAGGTTGCAGCAAAGGATGGGGCTCCTCTTCCTTTCATAAATATGAAGGAGATGGCATTTTGGCAGGTAACACTTGCCCCATTACAGTGCTGCAGGGTGATAAAAGGTAACACTTGCCAAAATCCACTCCCCCTTTTAATACCAAGGTTACGAGAGCTCTTTCCTCTTATTGCATCTGATTATCTTAAGTGAATTGCCTCCAAAATGGACTCTCACCAAGGTAGGCCACCACCGCAGCTGCTTCATGCTAAGGAAAGAGAGACAGGCAGGAGAGATTTGGCTCAAGACCCGGTGGGCTGATGGCAGGTGTGTTTTTCTACACCACTTGTCTTGAGACTCAGTATCTTAAGATTCAAAGGCTTATGACATTTGCAGGTTACAGAATGAAGGAGGCCAACACCAGGTGTTTCGTTATTCAGCTCTTCAACCCTGATTCAACTTCAAATAGATTTTGGTTTACCTAGCCTAGATTATATGAACAATTGTGGATGAAATCCAACCCCCCCCGCTCCCCTCCAAAAAAGCATGAGAGTCTGTGAAAGAAGTGAAAATTGGACAGAACATAGTTTCTCAGGATCAGCTGAGAGTGAGAATAGCGAGGCTTAAAGAGCATCATCTTCACTGTGTTCATTTGAAAAAGAATCAAAGACTGGAATACTGCAGCGGGTAGAGCTCAAAGTATAGCAGCAGTGAGTGGAAGAGGCCCACCACCTGAATGATACAGAAGAGTGCAGGGTCAGTAGGGTTTGGACTGATGGAAAAAGTATCTGTAATGCTTGAGCACAGAACTACAGCTGTTGCAGCAAGAGCTTGTTTGTGAGGGCAGAACCGCGTTAGCCAAGAAACGTGGTTGGGGAGCTGTCTTTTTTGTCCTGGTAGCATCTCACCTATGGCTACTTCCCATGCTGCTCTGGGGAGTGGAGGAACTATTTGAGAGAGGTGAGATCACGTATCCTCCATTTCTGTGTCAATATGGGAAATTGCACCCATTCAACTACTATAAAGTAAGATCTAACCTTTTGTTTTTAGATTGTAAGCTCTGTGGGGCAGGTGCTTGTTTTCTTGTACTTTGTAGAGGATCATGCACATTGATGGCCTTATATAGATAATAATAATAATAATAATAATAATAATAATAATAATAATAATAATAATAATGAAGTAGCATTATTTATATTGTGTTTGAGCATCTCTGAACTTGGCAGCAAACCAGGGGTCTCTTAACTGAAACTACTAGCTCTCCTTTCCACTTTGTGTTGTTCTATAGTTTTTCTCTAGAGCTGACCACAGGCTCATTCCCTTAAAGGGGAACCAACCTAATTAATAAGAAAGCGTTGTCTTTTATTAACTAAGATAAATATAATAGAAAATATTAGTGGATGATTTTTCTTTTATTTAATTTAGCCTGAGGGCTGCTTTCCCTCATGGTCAAATTTCTGGGGGGTTGGGAAGGACCAGAGGCAAAAGTTTGTGCAACAATGCATGCGACTCTTAAAGCAGGCTGCATTCCAGCCACACAAAAGTCACAAGGGTTTTGCACCCACCCACCCACCCATGCACATAGCCACTATTCAGCCAAACAAGATTTATGACCACAGTTCAAGGACATTTTCTAGCCAGACAAAGCTGCATTGAGAAGCATTGTCTGGGGAGAGTTACAAGGGCCAGATAGAGAGGTGTTGGAGAGCCACATGCAGCCCCCAGGCTGCAGTTCTCCATTCTTGCTGTAAATGGAAACAGTAGAACCTGTTAGTTGCAGTTGTGTGATCATGTGGCTGTTGCCAAACACAGAGTTGTTAAAAAACACAGCCTCTGAATTGAAATTTGCAAAACACAGTAGGGGAGAGATACTATATGTGTGGCCCATTTGTCTCAAGATGTAAATATTGGCAATAGGATCCATTCCTAGTCTCAAAAGGTAGACTCAGGTGACTTTGTGCCATTACAATGATACCCATAGAAGTGAATTCAAAGAAGTAAGGAAGCCATATCACTTGCTTCTAAAAAACAGAGTGTAGACAAGGGAGGAAGATAAAGTTCTGTTGGGCCATTGGGGGTTGTGAAAGTCAGAGACTTAGCCCCAAGGGGTCAGGGCATAAAGAAACATGTTTGCTTTACAGTGGGCTGTGGTGAGGTGCTGCAAGAGGCAGCCCATGGCACTGTGATTCAAGTTAAATAATGGGCCCATTTCTACCAAAGGGCGATAGCTTAGTGGTAGAGCACTTGCTTTGCATGCAAAAGGGCACATCTTCAATTTCTGGCATCTCCAGATAGGAAAGACCCTTGTCTGAGACCCCAGAGAGATGCTGCCGGTCAGTGTAGACAATGCTAAACTGGATAGTCTGACTTTGTATAAGGTAGCGTCCTATGTTGCTGTGCTAGATATGTTTGCAAAGACACAGCAGGGGAGACTGATGTTCTTCCTGTGTTTCTTCCAGAATGCAGAGCAGGGCTATGACGTGTAACAGATTAAGCCTTTTCTCAATAAGGCTTTATGTAGACTATGGACTGGAGGCCATTGAGGGTTTTGTTTTTTGTTGGTTTTTTTTTGCATCTGCTTCAGTTTGTATCTGCTTCAAGGCCCATTTGGGTCCACTAATATGCCCCCTCTCATCTTATGTTGGGCCTACAGAATTGTGCTTACTGTTTCTTGTAATCCTCCATCTCTTCCTTCATACAAAATTCAGATAGATGTTCATTGCCTAGGAGGGGGCTTCATATATTTGGGGGCTGACCCTGCCCAGAGGAGTAGAGAAGCACTGCTTCTCAGATTCAGGTGAGCTCCCTGAGAAATGAACTCTCATTTGTTCTGTCACTATTTATTAAATTGTGCAAGCCCTTTGGGTACACCATTCTAGTTGGCATAGTAGGATTTTTGCATGGTACCTTTGTGGGATTTGGGGCCAACTTCCACTTGTAGTGCCAGTCTAGGCTCTACCACGGAAGAGACACAGATTCACATTCTTCTTATAATTATTTTTGCAGTCTAATTTATATCCCTTTGCGGTTGGGATAGGGAGAGAAAAACAAGCAAAATGGTATTGTCCCCAGAGGGCAGCCTGCCCTCCCTAAAATCTAGTGAAGGAGGCAAGAGAAAGTCAGCTTTGGGGCATCACTGTGGCCAGGCCTGTGTATCCAGGTGTGTCCAGGGGTTAGAACAGCCTTTGTCAAACTAATGCCCTCCAGCTGTTGTGGATTACAAGTCCCATCAGCTGTACTGTCTGGGGCAGGTGGTAGTTGTGTTCCAAAACAGCTGGAGGGCACCAGATTGGTGAAGCCTGGATTAGCAGGTTGGGTTTGGAGGGGATCCGTAGAACAGCTGGGAGAGGTTCACATAGCACTTCTCTGTGTTGTGTCCTCTCTTCTTCCTCACATTTAAAATGCATTTTTGTAGAGAAGGCCCCAGCATGAGCATCTGTCAGAAAACCTTTCCCCATTTTAGCTGCAACTTCCAAGTTCACTGCAGAAGATACATCAGGAAGCTTAAAACCCATGATCAGCAGCACTGTACTTGGTGAAGATTTCTCCTTTTGACATTTTCAGCACTCAGAGGTAAGAGCCTCTGTTTTCAATGGAGCTTATTCCCATGTAAGTGTGCCAGAATCCAGTCATGATTAGAGTCCATTTTAATTTCCAATGACCTAGTTGATCCTGTAGGACAGAAAATGGTATTAAAGAAATAATCAGATAGCAACTGAAACAGCATAACATTTCTGCAAAGCAAGTTATTTTTATCTGTCCTGCCTCCTTATTTCATTTATTTGTTTTAGAGATTTCTAATCCCACTTTTTCATATAGAGCCACCCCCACCCCCTGTCTAAGTCAGTTTACAGCAGTGTTTCCCAACCGGTGTTCCGCGGCACACTAGTGTGCCGCGAGACGTTACCTGGTGTGCCGTGGGAGGGAGGCGGGCGCTTTCTCGTTCGCGCCCTGCAGCGAGAAGGGCAGCGCAGCGCCGCAGAAGAGGCCCAGGAGGCAGCAGGCGCCCAGCGCGCGCCCGAGTCCCGCCCAGCTCGCCATGTCCGCCCGCAGCCATGTCCGCCCGAGCCAGGCTCCGCGCGCGATGCCCCGATCCCGGGCGGTGGGGCGGGAACACCTCCCCCCGCCGCCCGCCATCGGGACGATGCCCCGATCCCGGGCGGCGGAGGGGAACGCCTCCCCCCGCCGCCCGCCATCGGGACGATGCCCCGATCCCGGGCGGCGGGGGGGGGACGCCTCCCCCCGCCGCCCGCCATCGGGACAATGCCCCGATCCCGGGCGGCGGGGCGGGAAGCCTGGGCGCGCTGATCTCGGCGCGCCCAGGCTTCGGCATGCTGGCACCTGTCCGCAAGCAGCAGCAGTGCTGCCGCTGCTTGCGGAGAGGTCCGCGAAGCCTGGGCCGGTCAGCTTTTGAAGGCAGGCAGGGGGAGCAAAGACTTTCGCCCCCGCCAGCCTTCAGAAGAGGTCCAGGACCTCTTCTGAAGGCCAGCGGGGGGCGAAAGTCTTTGCTCCCTCCTGCCTGCCTTCCCGGGAGAGCGGAGAAACGCAGCGCGTTTCTCCGCTGTCCCGGAGGGCTTTTGAAGGCAGGCGGGGGGGAGCAAAGACTTTCGCCCCCCGCCAGCCTTCAGAAGAGGTCCAGGACCTCTTCTGAAGGCTGGCGGGGGCGAAAGTCTTTGTCCCCCCTGCCTGCCTTCCCAGGGGCTTTTAAATCGCCCCGGACAGCGGAGAAGTCCTCCGCTGTCCCGGGCTATTTTAAAATGCCGCCCGTCAGCATTTTAAGATCGCCCCGGACAGCGGAGACGTCCTCCGCTGTCCCGGGGTTTTTTAAAATGCTGGGGGTGGGAAGAAAAGCCCTTGTCCCCCCAGCCTTCAGAAGAGGTCGGGGGACAGACTGTCCCCGGACCTGGTCTGAAGGCGGTTTCCCTAGGAACGCATTAATTGATTTTCAATGCATTCCTATGGGAAACCGTGCATCGCAAGACGAAAAACTCGCAAGACGAAGAGACTTGCGGAACGAATTAATTTCGTCTTGCGAGGCACCACTGTAATTATAAAATACTATCTTTGTGTTTATTTGATTCCTATTAAAGAGAGTTACTTTATATATAGTCAATATAGGCACAGAGTTAATTTTTTAAACATTTTCTAATGGTGGTGTGCCTCGAGATTTTTTTCATGAAACAAGTGTGCCTTTGCCCAAAAAAGGTTGGGAAACACTGGTTTACAGCATTTAAAGCTGGTTCTTTAGACACCCTTCCACAATCAAATTCCAAATGCACAGCTCACAGCTGAAACAGATTTATATGCATGCATTTATATGCATGCATTCCTTCCTGTAATTCCTGGCCATATTTAGTGACCTGTGACTACCAGGGGTATTCCATCTCCTTGCAACACAGCTGTACTCTGAAATATTAAACACTTCCCTGGCCATAACTAGGAAGTGCGGTTTTCCAGAATTTACTAGCTGTTTCAAAATACTGACTTAAGCAGCCACTTGTAAGCTATGGTGATTCAAAAGAGATAAGAGGAGAATTACCGGCAATGGTTCCGTCCCTCTTTCCCCTACTTCCTTGCGGAAGGGTGTCTAGAGCAGTGTTTCCCAACCTTGTGCCTCCAGCTGTTTTTGAACTACAACTCCCATCATCCCTGACTAACAAGACCAGTGGCAAGGGATGATGGGAATTGTAGTCCAAAAACAGCTGGAGGCACAAGGTTGGGAAACACTGGTCTAGAGAACCAGCTGTTGGGGAGCCTTGATCCCAGCTCTGAGATCGCTCTTTCAGATCAAGAATGAAGCCCAACCATTTTATTTATTCAAAATACTGAAGGTAGGTTTCAGGTTGTGAATATATATAATCTGCTTGTGTGCAGAAGGTCCAGTGCAGAACTAATAATAATAGTTTGGACAAACCATTTATACAAACTCCTTGCATCTTTGTTTTTACCTTAGCCCAGGACTGGGGAACCTGTGGCCATCCAGATGTTAATGGCCTCAACCAACCCCAGTCAACATGGCCAAAGGTTAGAAGATTGTGTTTTTTAAAATCTGGCTATACACATAACTAGCAGTTCACAATTCTTTTCAATAGTGCGATCTTCTCCTTTCTCCGACTGATAGGACTTTTGACGTTCCCCTTTTTGTTTTAGTGTATTTGAATGGGGACACACATCAATCAGTGTGCAAGCTTGCTGGCACTAGCAAACAAATAGTGGGGTCCATGAATGTTGAATGGGCTGCTAAACTGAGCATTGGAAGCCTAAATTGTTTGAGATCCAGCAGAGGGGGTAGAACTGAAGTGTGGTACACGCTATGCGGAGATGTATAAAATTATAGATTAACAGCAGAACTTTGGCACATCCGGTGAAGCTGAATGTTGGGAGATTGAGGATAGACAAAGAAAGCACTTTTTAACACAGCAGATAGCTGTGGAATTCATTCCCACAAGAAGTCGCGATGGCTACTAACTTAGAGAGCTTTAAAAGAGGATTAGACAACTTAATGAAGTATAATACTAATCAATTACTATAGTCCACAGTGGCTTCACTGTCAACAGCTACTAGTCTTGATGGCTGTGTTCTACCTCCACTGTCAGAGGCACTACACCTTTGAATGCCGGTTGCTGGAAATCACAAGTAGGGAGAGTGTCTTGGATCAATCCATCAACCTGATGGATGATTTAGAAGGATTGGGTCCAGCATCACTTTTGCTGCCCATGTGTGACAGTATCTGTACTCAGCAGAGTTACATCTCAACGCAGCTCCTTCCTTGGAAGCGTCTTTGGGGTTGAAGGTACACACGCAGTAGGCAATCAACACTCATGGATGCCATAAAGATTCAGTCAAGTGTAGAGGTTTACTTGGCAGGCATAAAAGCATATTGGTAGCAACTATAAAAGGTAAAGGTAAAGGACCCTTGGGCGGTTCACTCCAGTCAAAGGCATCTATGGGGTTGCGGCGCTCATCTCACTTGTAGGCCGAGGGAGCTGGCGTTTGTCCACAGACTGCTTTCCGGGTCATGTGGCCAGCAGGACTAAACCGCTTATGTGGCTGGGGCAGGTGTGGCCTAGAGAGAGAGTCCTTAAGGGCCAGGTAGAGAGCCGTGGAGGGCCACATTCACCCTGAGGGTCTGAGTTCCCCACTCTTGGTCATGCCCATGCAGCAGTAATGTTCGGGGATCAAATGAGCTACTTTGAGTTATTCCTGTCCCCACTGTCTGCAAAAGTGCCAGTTATATTATCCCATGTTAGTCCTCATATCTAGCACAGGACTGTCTTGGGCTATGCAGTTTTTCTCACTAGCTTCTTATACTGAGCAGGCGGAGTATCCTGGGGTAAAGGAATCTGCCTTTCCTGGAATATTTTCTGCACACTGAGTGTGGTGCTACATTTCCTAGGCCAGACAGTTTGCCCAGATCCAAGAGGTTCGCAGCGGTCAGGCTTGCAGGTTGTGAACAATGGCCTTTCACACAGTACCATAGATATTACCCTCTCTCTCTTTTTCCATGCCAGCCTCATGGGCTTCCTTTGCTGTGTTTCAAAACTACTTATTATATACACGACTTCTGTAGCCCCAAGTGATCTGTTTTGGAGGGGGTGGGTGGGAGAGGCTCCCTTTGGCCCTGCTCTCCATTCTCAGATCCTGACTGCACATAGTTTCTGGTGCTATTAACAGCCATCTGCACACATCTTGTGATAACCCCCTGTGGTCTCTGAGCTTTCACAACATTGTTTCTCTCCTTCTCTTGTCCCCCATATCCACCCTGCCCCCTGTCCCTTTCTGTCTGTCCATCTGTCTGTTGCTGTGGATCTTTCCCCTCCCCTTTCCCCCTTTTAATCTCTGGATTTTGTTTCCTGCCATGCATATTTTGGTTGTCGTCTTCTTTTGCTCACTCCCTTTCTATAACCTTCCTGTGCTCTCTTCTTCTTCTTCTTACACCTTTCCTGCCTTTCTTCTGCGTATGATTTCTCCACTTCTCTCCTCCTGATCCCCATTGTCTGCCCCTTTCCCAACCTGCCTCCTGTCTTCCTTCCTCCCTCCCTCCCTCCCTTCCCGTTTTGTTTTGCAGTCACTGTATCCATCAGATATTAGAAAGCGTAACTTACATTCACCACTATGCCATTGTGCATAGGGACCTGAAGGTCAGTATATATATGCCTTTCACCCTCTCAGAATGTTGGGTGGGGAGCGTAGGTGCTGCCATAATAGATTGAATCTGGTCAGGTCTGGCATTCTGCCCTGCCAGGTTCCTTTTATTTTTGGCGTATGGGGAGGGCAGTTATTCAGAGTTGGTTTCTTCCCTGTCCGAACGTGCATGACAAAATCCTTCTCATCAACGCAGAACTCCAGTGAGACTGGTTGGGGACCCTGAGACCTTCCACACAAGGAAACACCCAGGCCCACACGAACCACCTGGTTCCAGTGATCCTGGCACTGACATTGTCCATAACGGGGGGAACTAAAGCAATTGGCTTGATTCTATAGCATTCATCATTCCATCTCTCCCATGTCTTCCCACTCGTGCTTGTGTGCGCGTTCTCTCTCTCTCTCTCTCTCTCTCTCTCTCTCTCTCCTTCTCTCTCCTTCCCTCCCTCTTCTCCCTCTCTCTGTTTCCTGATCTGCATCTCTTATCTTGTTTACCGGAACCCCTCCTTCCCAACTCTTGTCCCATTTACTTTTTTGGGCCAAAGCATTTGCATGTTGCCTTGGAGATCAGAAGTCATACAGTTTAGGGAGTGTGGTGCACAGCCATCAGTGCCAGCAGTTTGGGGCATGTAGCTACTCCTAGCGATGGAGAGTGTAGCATCACTGCATGTGCCTCCATGCATAAAAATAAAAATCCATGCATGTAGAAAACTTGCATGTCTGGAAGAAGGGTTCTTAGCCTAGCCTTCCCTCTGCCTTTAGTTTTCTGTGTGTACGGGATTTTTGTGTATGGAGCAACATTCCAGCACATACCACACTTTCACCCGAAATCTGAAGTTGTAGCATTTGGAAGAAGACTTTAGGGTCTTATCTGCTGTTTTGTGAGAACTACATCTTCTCAGGGAACACATCTGGGTTTTGGTTCAAAAGGTGGGCATCACTTACTTTTTCTAGGAAGGAAATGGGCAAAGCACCAGCCATGTTATTTGAGAGAGATTGATAACAGAAACGGTCTGGTTGGATGAACCTATGATGCAACTGCCTGTAGGGTTTTTAGGAGTCAATGAGGCTTAAGGCTCAGTGCCCTACTTATGATCTGGCTTTGGCAGTAATCCAGAGTTGAGACACAGTAGGAAATGGTGTAAGAAGATAGGCACACCCTTGACATTTTTGTGAGCTCGGTAGGTGGGAAATGGCTCTGCTTGTGAACTTAGCAGTACCTCCTTGCTTCCTATTATAGGCAATTTGGCTCATGGCAGTATTAGGATGCTTAGGTGTTCTGTACAGTCCCACTACCCAGAGATATCACTTTCAGATCTCCCTTCCTTCACTCGTTTCATCCCAGAACAGTGGGAGGTTTTGTATTAGAGGTGCAAGGTGGGGAATCCTCCGTAATTCCACGGTAAACCATGGGTATGCATATGTGTCCTATGTGGATTTTCAGCCAGAGTGGAAGGAGCCCTGCTTTTAAGCCTTAACTTTTTCCTATACTTTTAAAGCAACGTTGGGGAATGTGTGGGCCACCCAGATGTTGTTGGACTGCAGCTCCCATCATCCATATCCATTGGCCATGCTGGCTGGGCTTGATAGAAGTTGGAGTCCAACAGCATCCAGAAAGCCACAGGTTCCCCGTTTCTGTTTTAAAAGCAAGAATGTGTTGTGCAATATGCAGGATTGGGGATTTTGTGGTAGAAAGATGCTGTTTAGTTTTTAAAATAGAGAATACATTTTGGCTTGGAGCAAGGTTGCAAAACCTCCAGGCAGTAACTATATCATGTCCATGCTCCTGACATCCCCCCATAGGCGCCGACTCCATGGGGCCTGAGGGGGCCCGAGCCCCCTCAAAAATTCGTTTGGGGGGGGCTAAGCCCCCCCAATAATTTAAGAATTTGGGGGGGGGCGCGAGTCCAGAGGGCCCAGCCGCGTCGTGCCCTCGGCCCGCCCCTATTGTCAGAGGCTCAGCGTGGAAGTGTTAACAAAGTTTCAGAGGGGGGAGCGAGTGGGGGGGGGACGCGGGGAGGGGAGGGGGTCCCCGCTTCTCCGGCCGCCTTGCAGAAGCGGCCACCGCCCGGCGGCTCTGCCTTTGCTCGCAGGCCTGCCTGGGGGCTCCCTCGGCTCCAGCGCTGAGCTGGCGGCCCCGATCCCGGGAGCAAAGAGGCGTCGCGGGAGCGGCTAGGCCTGCGCCAGGGCCCTGACCCGATAGCTTCTCCGGCTCCCCAAGCCGAGGACAGCTTCGGCTGTGAAGCTGCGCCTTCCGGGCTGGCCCCTTCTCGGCTGGGCCTCGCCTCTCCAGCTCCCGGTATGTGTGCTCCGCGGTGGTCCCCGCTCCTTCCAGACCCTTCCACCGCCCCCTGCCAAACTGGCTGTAGATACAAGAAGGGCAGCTGGGGTGGGCTATAGAGGACCCTGCCTCCCCCTGCGGGGCTCATCTCTGGCAATTGGCTCAAGGAGCCCCCTGAGTTTTGGCATTGTCTCTCCGCGCCCCCCCCCACCTCTCTCCAGGAGCTTTATGGAGCCGCCTGGATCGGGTCTGCTTTGGAGGAGGGCAGCCTTCCTTGACCAGCATGGGCCCCCCCCAATATTTTTTATAAGTCAGCGCCCCTGCATCCCCCTAGCCAACAGTTGGCATTAAATACACAATTAGCAGGAGATGGGGGAGGAGGCAAAGCAAGAAACATATTGATCTTTAACTTGCTGCAGTGGCATGTGAATAAGCCCTTGGTTTTTTGTTTCTCCTCTGGATGGCTGTATTTTTGTGTCAGTGCCATTTCTAAGCCAAGTGAAGTTTTGTTGGCTATCTCCCCCTCCCCTTCCTTTCAAAAGTAGCATGCCCCAGACATAGCATTAAGGGACAAAGCTTGTCAGGCACACACTCTTTGACTGTCATCTGGCTTATTTTAGCAAGCTAGTATGTCCTGTCACCATGCTGGCAAGACAATAATTGGATGAACCGAGGCCAGCAATAGCATTTTGGTAACTGAAGCTGGAGCCTCAAGTGCTGAAGCTAAAGAAGTATCCTCGTGGTAATAAGAGTGAGTCTCCTGTAGTCACCAGAGACACCCCCTCGGGGAGAGATTATCACATGTGTTGGGCAAAACTCCAGAGCTCTTTGAGCACATTGAAGCTGGCAGCCTCTTCACAGTGCACAGGTGACTGCTGCCAAGTTGGCCCTGGGAAAAGGACAGGGCTATTTCTGGATCATGGCCATACCGTGCTCTATAGTTTCCTAAAGGAGTACTTTCCTCCTTCCCTTTTGGAGCCCACAGTTGACATTGAAGGGCCTTTTGCCTCCGCAGACAAGAGTTGTATGCAGGTCCCTATTAATACAGATCAGACAAGGGCAGCATCATTTGACACCCGTCAGCTTCATGGTGGTTTTGGAAGCTCACTTGGTCTGATCTACTTAAGACAGTGTGTGGCAGGGGGGTAGGTGCTGGTGGGAAGGCAAATTCTATTCTATGGATCATTAGAAAAGAAATGGTGATTGTTAAAAAAAATAGTTGTTATTTATTTAAATATTTATAAGCTGCACTTCCCTAAAAAATACAAGGTTGCATGCAGCTTACAAAATTGCAACAAGTACAACAAAAACTTCAGGGGGGAAATCAGTAAAAAACATCAATAAATACTGGTTGGTGAAAAGAATTTCATTTTTTTTTTTTTTAATAATTTTTATTGGGTTTTCACATTTTATAAAGACAAAAACAAAACACATAACACCAAAACAAACATAAAAAAAACAACAACAAACATGAATAGTTCCAAAAAGTCTTATTTTCTAACCCTAGTCCTTGACTTCCCCCCACCCCCTCCCTTGCATCCCTGTTCCCAGGTTTATGTCAGCAAGTTAGCAATTCTTCCTTCTTAATATTAGTCCTTTTATAGAAACAAAAAATAAGTTTTCCCTAAGTTGGACCCCAATTCTCTTCCCTCGATTTCTCATTTTTTCTTAAGTAATTTCCTTATTACTAAACCCCTGGTCTTGAGTGTTGCTTAAGTTTATGCTTCCCTCCCTCCCATCCCCGCTTTGCGTCCTTTCCCAAGACATGTCCAAAATAACAGTTTTTAGCCTGGATTCCGCACATCCGAGGCTCTCAAATCTATTTCAGTCCCTCTCCGCCGGTTTTGTTGGTAGTCCTCTTTGTCAGACATCGAGTCTCGAAAGATTTCATTAACATTCAATCCAATCAGTCCATAGTCTCTTCCCATATTTATAAGCAACTGCTGAGGAATTTCCACAAGGCCTGAGTCTTGGTGATGGTCAAAATCAAAGTCTATGTGGAGGCCCCAATTGTACTTCTTTATTTCGAGTTCCTGAGTTCCATAAACTCCCAGGGCCTCCACTTTCATCTTCTGTATCTTTCGTAGGCTTGGAATAGATTCCATCCAATGGTCTCCTTGTTTGTATTCTCCAAATATCGGCTTCTGGTTAGTATTTTCCCACATAACTTGTTCTCTTTCTTGTTTTGTCTTCTCCTCTTCTTTGTTTATTATTTCAAATTCAGCTGTGGGTTCTTTCTCATTCAAGTCCTCATTACATTCAGCAGAGCTACTTGTTTCCAAATCCAAGGCCGTCAATTGTTTACTCATAGCTGTAGTCTGCTCCTGTAAGGTTCCCACCAGTGAAAACATCCTTTCGATTTCTCTCAGTAACTTTCCACCCACAGCCATTGTAATTCCACAGAATTCCCCCTAGAGGGAATCTGGTTACTGGATGGTCTTTTCTCCAACAATCCTCTGTCCTATTATTGTTTCTTTGTTTCCCAAAATTTTAGTTCAATTGTAACTCCTTTTTATCCGGAGAGGTCTTAAGTAGCAATTTTTTCAGTATTAACAGTCCATTTGACAGCTTTGACAGCTGTCAAATTCTGCTCCTCTATACGGGCTCCAAAGCAGATCGCTCCCGGGCTCGGGAGGGAGGGTTGTTTACCACAAAACAAAAACTCTTCCAACACTCCACTCTCCTGCTTAAATTTGCTTTTCCAAATCTTGGAAGTTACTGTCTTTTTTAAAACTCACCCTTTGCAGGGTAGGCACTCCAGCTTAGCTCTTATATCGTTGCTCTGGATCGTCTGCAAGGGGGGGGGATGGGGACTTCCTTTTGGCACACCCCCCCGGTCGTCTCAAATTCAAAAGGTAAAAGTTTTTAAAGCTCAGTTCCAAATTACTCACGGGTTCTTTTTTTTCAGTCCGAATTTCAAGGAAGGAAGTCAGCGCTCTCCAGTTATGGCTCGCGGCTTCGCTCAGCGGCGGTAGCGATCGACTCTCAGTGCCGCGCCGTCCCCCGTATCCCCTCCATAGCCTTTAAAAAGGCTCTTCGCGAATCAGGGGGGGCGCTTAAGGCACCCGCCGAGTCTTCAGTCCGCAGGCATCTGCACCTGCGGTTTTTAAGGGTCCCCGTGTCGCCGGCACGGCAAAGACCCATCCACCGCTGAGCCGATTCCCTCCGGAGCTCGGAGGGAATCCGCCATTCCCGGATCGCGCCAACCCGGAAGTCGCCTTTGGTGAAAAGAATTTCACATTGCGAGGGCCTGTGCGAATAACACTGTTTTTAGGATACATCTAAAAGAAGACGCAAATTATTTCTGCCAAACCTCTACAG